CATAAGTGGCTTCTAAAATAAAATATTCACCTTTTAAAAAAATATGTTTCCGAAGAATTTTTTAAAATAACAAATATTTTCTACTAACACCAGAGAGTACAGAGTCCACTTCCATCCTCTTATGGTACCAAGTTAGGTCCAATAATTATATTGACATAAACAGGAGAAAGGCCAGATGTGGGTGGCTTATGCCTGTAATCCTAGCACTTGGGGAGCCTGAGGTGGGAAGATTGCTTTAGGCCTGGAGTTTGAGACCAGCCTGAGCAAGAGAAAGACCCTGTCTCTACAAAAAATGGAAATATTAGCTGGACCTGGTGGCATATGCCTATAGTCCCAGCTACTCAGGAGTCTGAGGTAGGAGGATCGCTTGAGCCCAGGAGTTTGAGGTTGCTGTGAGCTAGGCTGTTGCCACTGCACTCTAACCCAGGCAAAGAGAGAGATGCTAAAACAAAACCAAACAAACAGGAGAAAAGCATACAGATTTATTGGCAAGTTTTATGTTGCATAGGAGCCCTCATTAAAAGATAAAGACCCAAAGAAGCATTAGAGCCAGTTACAGGCACACATCATTTTATTGCTCTTAGTTTTATGGCACTTCACAGACATTTTGTTTTTTACAAATTGAAGGTTGTGGCAACACTGTGTCTAGCAAGCCCTTCAGTGCCATTTTGCCAACAACATGTGCTCACCTCATGTCTCTTTGTAACATTTTGGTAATTCTCACAATATTTCAGACTTTTTATTATTATTATATCTGTAATGGTGATCTGTGATCAGTGATCTTTGATGTTGCTATTGTAATGGTTTTGGGGCACCATGAACCACACCCATATATAACAGCAAACTTAACTGATAAATGTGTGTGTTCTGACTGCTCCACTGACCAGCCATTCCCCATCTTTCTCCCTCTCTTTGGGCCTCCCTATTCCCTGAGACACAACAATATTGAAATTAGGCCAGTTAGTAACCCTACAGTATCCTCTAAGTGTTCAAGTGAAAGGAAGAGTGGCACATCTCTCATTTTAATCAAAAACTAGAAATGATTAAGCTTAGTGAGAAAGGCATGTCAGAAAACTGAGATAGGACAAAAACTAGGCTTCTTGCACCAAACATTTAGCCAAGTTGTGAATGCAAAGGAAATTCTTTTTAATTTTTTTTTCTATAGGTCACTTAAAACAATTTTTTTTAATTTCAGCATATTACAGGGGTACAAATGTTTAGGTTACATATATTGCCTTTGCCCCCTCCTCCCCCCAGTCAGAGCTTCAAGCGTGTCTCTCCCCCATATGGTGAGAACCGCACCCAATAGGTGTGAATATACCCATCCCCTCCTCCCCCTCCCATCTGCTCAACACCCAATGAATGTTGTTACTATATGTGGACTTAAGTGTTGATCAGTTAATACCAATTTGATGGCGAGTACATGTGGTGCCTCTTTTTCCATTCTTGGGATACTTCACTTAGTAGAATGGGCTCCAGCTCTATCCAGGGTAATACAAGAGGTGCTAGATCACCATTGTTTTTTTGTGGCTGAGTAGAACTCCATGGTATACATATACCACATTTTATTAATCCACTCATGTATGGATGGGCACTTGGGTTGTTTCCACATCTTTGTAATTGTGAATTGTGCTGTTATAAACATTCTAGTGCAGATGTCTTTTTTAAACTGCTACACACATGATAAAAATGTAACACAGCACTTATTGCTGATATGGAGACAATTTTAGTGGTCTGGATAGAAGATCAAACCAGGCACAGCGTTCTCCTCAACCAGAGCCTGATCCAGAGCAAGGCCTGAACCAGGGGTGGAGAACCTGCCTTTGGGTGACATGTGGCCTTCTAGATCTTTAAATGCAGCCTTTTTTGACTGAATCCAAATTTTACAAACAAATCTTTTTATTTTTATTAATGCACTTTTGTTCTTCTTTTATATTTTTATTTTATTTTTAAAATGAATGTATTTAAAATACCAAAGAATAAAATAAGCTTCAGTGAAATAATCTCCCAGATTGACCAGCACTATTAGAACATTAGTAAGCCATATGGGATAAATTGACAGCTGCTATACTCATGATTTAGTTCTCACTTCTCACACCTGACTGGCACCACTACTGTATGAGGCTGGTTGGTGAGAGTTTATCGGGGTCGGGTATGCCAGTCTGTTATCAGCTTTGACATTGTGTGCTGTGTTTCTGTTTGAAGTGGAGTTTTTGAATAGTTACACAGCTTGACAGTACTTTTAAATTCTGTCTGCTTAACAGTCCATCGTGTCAGAGAAGACCAAGAGAACACTGAAGGAAGAAAACAGATTTTTTAATGAGGACTAGGAATTGCAATATTATCTTATTTTTGCTAAAGATGATTTGCTTGCTTTGTGATACGGCAATATCAACATTAAAGAAATTCGTTGTTCATCATCATTATAACACTCATAAGGACCACAAATATTTTAAATTAGAGGAAGAGGCAGGAAAGGTTGTATTACAGAAATGAAAGATGAAAAGCAAAAGCAGATACAATTCTTTTAGGCAGCAGTGAAACCTGGAAATAATGCCACTGAAGCGACTTATAAAGTAGCTTATATACTAGGGGAAAAGGGGCAGCTATTTAGTGATGTAGAAATTGTGAAAGGATGCACTGTCAAAGTTGTAAGATGCTTAGACCCTGATAACATTTCAAAGTACAAACAACTGCCTCTTTTAAGGGAAATATAATTGATCAGCAGCATGAATTAGCCTTCAACATAACAGAACTTCATGCAATACTTCAAAAGGAAAGTATATATTATTCAATCACTTTGAATGAATCAACTGAGAATACTGACTTAGCACAGGTTTGATACTGCATTTGGATCATAACAGAAACTTTTCTTTGCTATGAAGAGTTACTTTGGGCACTCTTATGAACTGAACACAGGGAATAGATATCTTTAACAACTTTCAAGATAGATGTCATGAAGTTGGACTAAATTTGGTAAATGAAGTGAGTGTATGTACAGAGAGTACACCTTCTGTACATTAAAACACCTCCTGTACATGACAGGAAAACATGAAGGGTTTGTTGCACTGATTAAAAAAGTATTAACAGATCTAGATGCTGTCATTTCTTTTCATTGTACAATTCTTTCACTGTCATCAGCAAAACCTCTGTGCTAAAGTTACTATTAATACTTTAAGTGACACTTTGCAACAAGTTATAAGTATTGTTAACTATATTTGTGCAAATACAACAGGGCATTGTCTGTTTTGTAACATGTTAAAGTTGAATGATGGGGTATTCAGTGTGGATTTGCCATATCATTCTAAAGTGCTTTGCTATCTCAGGGACAGGTGTTAGCCAAAATTTTATCTCTACTAGAACAGATAGTTAAATTTTATGAAGAACAGAATCAACAATGTGAATTATTGAAAGAAGATTTCTATAGGAATGCAATATTTCTCTGTGATATCATGTCGAATCAAAACTACTTGAATACTTCTTCGCAAGATAAAACTAAGTCTATATATGATATGTGGCCAAAAAAATATAATAATTCAAGCATTTTGCAAAAAGCTATCTTTTTTCAAAACACTTCTTCTTCAAAAAGAAATTTCAGATGAATATTTTCCCCAGTTAGCAAAGGTCACTGATGAGCAGGATGATATATGTGAATCATTTGAAGAATATGCAGCTGTTATAGACCTATTAATTGGAGAATGCAAAGAAATGTTCACTGACTTTGAGAATCATAACATCACTCTCAAATTAAAATTTCAGTCTCATCTAGTTGTTATCACCAAGGCACCTAAAGAACTACAAATGGAATTGATCGAACTCTCAGTAGATGACATTTTAAAGTCATTTGATGTTAAGAAAGATCCCATTGAAATATGGAAAAATACAGAATACCCACACCTTTGACAACATGCCTGAAAAATGCTTTCTTGCTTTTCAACCACTTATTGCTGTAAATCTACATTCTCCTACCTAAACCAAATCAAGGTGCCCTTAAGATCATAAATGACTGATACCCATCTAGATGATCAACTGATACTGTGGACCTCGATATCTCTTAGTTTGCCTGTACTTACATATTGGGTTGAACAAAAAAATAGTATACTGTGATAATATGACTAAATTATGTGGGGAGCCTTAAAAGATAAGAGAGTTACCCTAATAAGGTCTATCTCAACTGCTTGTCCTTGAAGATGAGCATGTTGCCCTTTTTTTCTAGTATAAGGAAAGTATCTTTCATATGGGAATTTCATCTGCTTTTAAGAAACAGCCTAACAGTCAAAAATGATCTTGCACCTGCTGTTTTTCAAGTGCCTTCAATTTAAACAGTCAAAAATACCAGAATAGTGTATTTTAGTCACTTCAAGTGCATGCAGTTTTTGGGGTGTGTGTGTGTGTGTGTGTGTGTGTGTCAGGGTTAGTCTTGTGTAAGAAAAGCTGTAGCAGGAGCAGTTTGAGAATTTTTTTTTTTTAGTAAGCCCACAGCACATTCTTAAATTAGTTGCTCTTCTCAATAATTCACCCACACTTCCTTTTTCCTCACTCTCTTCTAGATATTTTTTTCTTTTCAACCTCCTCCTCATTCTCTCTTCTCCCTCTGTTCTCTTCATGTTTTGATGGTTTTCAGAGCAATAGCTCCTTCTCTCCTTCTGTATGTAACAATAAAGCTGTGTGTATGTGTGGAGAGAAGCTGAAAAATAAGACAGATGGTTCTTTTTTACCAGGTTGCTTTGGATCGATGAGCTGGATATGTTGTTATTTTCAAGGAGACTGAGTTGGATCCTTTGGAAAACTAGTCATGAATGACTGTAATGAGATATGTGCTATTGGTTTTGCTTTTGGGTTTTTTGCTTTGTGTTTGGTTTAGAAGTGAGTTTTTAGAAGATCAGAATACTAAAATAGTGTTTTCATTAAATACTGGTTTGTTTTTTTTAATGGCCTTAAATTTTTCTTGGGTAGCTGAGCCATTCTTAGACGTATGCTATCTTTGTATTTTATTTCAGTACTTGCTAGGGAAGAAGCTGCTTGCACAACCCTTCGGTCTTGGATAATTTCTGGTAGAGAAGCCCCCCAAATTTAGCAGACAGCGTCCTTTGGCATCCTGGTCCCCGCTTACTACATTCTTCACCTGCTGGAACAGAAGGCCTTTGGGAAACAGATTCCTAAAAGAGCAGGTAAGCAAAGGCAACACCACCATTGTCTCAGAGTCCTTAAATATTAAGTTTGAACACTTGAAATGTTTTTATACAATGTTTCTATCTCTAGTAGGTGATGTTAAAGTCCCCTTTCCTTCTGTGAATACAGCTGGCTGCCATTCTCCCTCTTACTAGTTTTACAGGTGGCCTGAGTACCTATAAGACTTTTAATGTAACGAGCATATGCTAAAGCTATTGGATTTTAAATATTTTTATTTTCAATCTGAACGGGCCTTCTTTGGGACTGTTCTAAGCCAAAATGTAAGTGAGTAGTAGTAAAACTCTTTTAAATTAACACTAGAACATTACATGCATCACAGATATTGTAGAAGTTCTGCTATTATAATAAATAAGCTGTGTAAACTTGGGTGAGAGGCTTGTGTTCTTTAGGCCTTGTTTTCTCAGTAGAATTAATTCTAGTTCCTTCTCTGTCTCTAAATGCAACAATTAATAATAATTTCATTAAAGTACCTTGTAATTTTTTAGGCTTATTCTTCTTACTATTCCTGGAACCCCATGCAGAAATTTCAGACACCAGTGTATAATTTTGTTTTGAGAAAGCTCTGGAGCTCAAATGTCCATCAGGAATTAGCTACATGTTTTACCCATGAATCTACGTAGTCTTTCTGTTTCATTAAAGTTCATCAGAGAATAATTATTCTACTAGCAAATTTGTTACATTACAGTCTTGTTTGGAGATCTTTTCATGAAAGACAGTTACTGACTGGGAACGTTATGCTTTAGTGGCACTGGCAAATATGTAGATTCACAATGGTCTTGTGATTTAGTCCTAGGTGATCTCTTGAGCTCTTGCTTGTTCATACTGAGATTATTCATGACAGTTTAAAAGCCTGTCCTCAGCATAGACCTGAAACCCTGGACTTGCAGAACTCTTGAGTACCATGAATCTAGCCCAGAGGTTTCTTATTGACAGCAACATTTTAATTTAATGGAATCTGGGCTGTAATCATCTCAGTGATTCGTGGAGCTACCTTTCCTGTCGATCTTTCCATTTTCTGGCATCAAGAAGATGAAAGTATTTTGAGAGTCACATATTGATGAACATGGATTCTGATGTATGCCTGGGTTCAAGTCCCAGCTCTGCCACTTACTACTTGAGTATCCTGGGACAAATGATAACTTCTGTGTGATTTAGTGTCTTTATCTCTGTGATAGAGATGACAATAACACCTTTCTTAAGGGGTGGTTTTGAGGATTAAAAAAATTGTACATCTAAAGCATTTAGACCAGTTCTGTCACATAAGTGTTTAGTAAATTTTAACTATTTTTATTGCCATCTGTTGCACAGTGTTTATTCTTCTGCCTTCATTCTCTAGCTTAGGGTTGACAAATTCCAGACCTCATTCTTACCTTGTTAGACATTGTTGAGTTACCACAATGTTTGCTTCTAAGCCTGGGACACAATATGTGAATCTATCTCAACATTAAAATGGGTCCATATGAGAGTGGAAGATGAAAGCTATTGTCAGCTCAGGTATTTTATAGAGTTCTTCATTTTATTTTTTTTCTTTCAAGATATAATTTTGAAATGCCAATTACAAATTCAGGTTTTCTGTTTGTTTGTTTTTACTAAGTCTCAGAGCAGTTTTATTATGAAAAGCATAAAAAGGTGTGGTTTATATAACCAGAAATAGGGTCTGAGTTTGCCAATGAATTACTACTATTTTGAATGCCTTTCGTTTTATATTCAGAAGCAGATGAGTAAGACTTCCTGTCACAGATACTTTAAAATGTCAAAATGAATGTGCAGCAATAATAGCACAGTAATGTAAACTTAATTTTATGATGCTATTATTAGCACACAATGTCATGAGCTCTTTAGCATCTCTACCAGGATATTATGAAGCTAGTTTTGGGGGAGGGCGTGGTGTGTGGCCAGCTAATATTTCACTTGTTTTAAAAGAAGAATTAAAACAAGATTACCTTACCATATGTCAGATACTTATCTTAGTGTTTTAGAAATAGCTCTATTAGGTACCATTATTATCTCCCATTTTATAGCTGAGGAAGCTGAAATATGAAGAGGTTAAGCAAATTCCTAGGGTGATACAACTAGTCAGTGGGAAGAGCTAAGACTCAAACTCAGGGGGTCTGATTACAAAGGGAGGAAGCAATCTTAACACCTAATTATGCTGCTGCCTACAAAGAATAAATTGCATGAAGAGGATGATGAAAAGTAAGATGGCAGAACAAAATTGTAGAAGACTTAAATGCTAGGCTAAGTGACAAGATATGAGCTGCACTTTGAAGATTTTATGCCAGATACAGCATGTGGGCTGGTTTAAAGGGAAGAAAGATTATAGATTACTGCCAGTTGCTAAGGGGAAGAAGTAATGAGAACATGGGTTTAGGAAACAGGATTAAGATAACAGCTTGAGAACACCTGTATTTAGGTGGGTGGAGGAGGAAGGGGAAATCTAGAAGCACAGGCTGAGAAGTTAGCGATGTGAGGCCCAGGCCAGTGCAGTGACCCCAAAGGGAAGATGGTTCAGGAATTGAAAACCACAGAGATCAGAAAGGATTGGAACAGAACCAAGATGTGTGGGGGTTTAGAGATATTAATTAATTCATTCCTTTATTGACTTGTTTAATTACTCATTGAATAAGTAAATAGTTCTGTGCACGCATGATAAGACAGGAATTGTGCTGGAGGGGAACCCAGATAAAAATGCTCTCTCATGCCACACACTCTGCTACTTATTAGCAAGATCGTCTTTGACAAGTGCTTTAATATTTCTAAATCTTGGCTGCCTTTTCTGTAATATAGTACATAAGACCTCACTCTTGTCTAAATGCCCTCAACTCTTGTGGTCTTTCCAGCTCTAAGATTTGCAATTCTTGAGTCCAAGTTGTGAGCAGCAATAATTGGAAATATTGTAAACAGTTGGCGGTCATGTCATTGGCACTTGTAGGTGAATCCAAGAGATGCAGAATGAAGTGTGTGTCTCATAGGTCAGGGGTCCCTAAACTATGATGAGTTGTATAATTGCTTCATTATGTATTACAATGTAATAACAATAGAAATAAAGTGCACAATAAATACAATGCGCTTGAATCATCTCGAAACTATCCTCCCCCTTCCCCAGCCCATGGAAAAATTGTCTTCCATGAAAATGGTCCCTGGTGCCAAAAAGGTTAGGGACTGCAGCTGGAGGTGTAATGTGAATGGAGAAGCCCCACATCTTTTCTCTCACAAATGGCAGTAGTCATAGTGATACTGATAATAGATGAAAGGACATGACTGGAAATAATATAGGAAGGGCAGTGACCAGGGAACTTACAAAGACCCACAAACATGCCCTAGAATGGTGAGGGAACTTTTTCTTAAAGCCACTTATTTTCAAAGAGAGTCTGACTAGATTCTTCAGAGAAAATTCTATTGATTGAAAAATTTAAAAAGTCAAGCTCTAAAGACTTTTAAAAGATGTAGCATCGAACTTAGAGTGAACTTCCAGTTCCCCTCAAAAGCTATGTTTTCTGTGAAGCCTTGATCCTCTCAGTTGAATGCAGTTCCTCTTTCCTCTGAGCCTTAGCCAGCAGTACATCTCAAACACACGGATCACCAGGGTGTCTGGCTAACATGCAGGTCCTGACTCAGTGGATCAAAGAGAGGGCCTGAGAGTCAGCATTTCTATCCCCTCCCCAAGTGATGCCAATTCTCTTGATCCATGGACCACACTTCGAGTAGCAGGGGTCTAAAATATTTTGCTTTACTTCTCATAACAGATAATCAAAATAATTTAAAAACAGTATAACTTAGTTCCCTTGCCAGACTGTGAGCTCTATTCCCCACATCCTAAAGTAGAGTACATATGCATTAGGAAATGCTTGATTAAGAGATTCTTACATTCTTACAAATGTGATTTGTATTTATTCCATAGCATCAGTAATTAGAATTGCTATTGGTAGGGCCTTTTTCATTTTAAACTGAAATAAATTTGCTATTCAAACTAGCCACTAGAATGTAATATAAAGTTTTCATATAAAGTTCAATATTATTTACTATATGACCGCTGAAAATATATATCCACTCAAAGAGTTGTTCTTGAATGTTCAATGCAGCTTTATTTATAATAACCAAAAATTGCAGAGAAATAAAATGTCTATTTTCTGGTAAATTGATAAATGAGTTGTGGGATAGCCATCCAATACAATACTATTAATAGTTAGCAATAAAAAAGAATGAACTCTTAGTATAAGCAACAATTTGGACAATTTTTTTCAAAAGCAATATGTTAATTGAAAGAAGCCAGAAATAAGATATATACTGTATGATTCAATTTATATAAAACTTTAGAGAAAACAAAACTATAGTGATAGATTAGGTTGCTAGGGGCCAAGAAGTAGGGGAAAGGGATTTACTGTGAAGAAAAACAAAGGAACTTTTGGGGTTGATGGAAATGCTTAGAATGATGACTTTGAAGGGTTATTGCCTGATTTTGTACATTTTCCAAAATTCATCAAATAGTACACTTAAAAGCAGTGAATTTTATTGCACAAAATTATCTCAATAGTTATCACCATGTTAACAATAACTAATACTTCTTGGAGATTGGCATCTTATCAGTAGGATGTTAATATAAGGAAGTAGAGAAAATTTTAACCATAAGAGAAGAAATGTGCCCCGGAAGAAAATATGAAAAAATAATAGGAACATCAGAAGTTCCCTTAAAAGCTTCTTTGTGTATTTGCAATGGAGCTTGGTCTAATGGGCGAGGTCTTGAAAACAGGAACTCTAGTTCATTTATTTTTGCTGTGCAGTACAGTTGCTATTAGTTGAATGATTTTACTGTGTCCGGCTGTGCCATTAAAAAACAAAATTCTGCTGAAAAGCCATTTCTGTCTTTTTTATATTCTTTGTAGTGAGCACTCCCCATTTTCAGGGGAGGATTTGATAATTTGCCTTGATAGTGAGTGCTTAGCTTTAACTAAGTGAAAATGTCTGTCTACACATGCTA